GTGTGTGTGTGTGTGTGTGTGTGTGTGTGTGTGTGTGTGTGTGTGTGAGCGTGAGCGTGAGCGAGCGTGAGCGTGTGCGTGTGCGTGTGCGTGTGCGTGTGCGTGTGTCAGAGAGATAGTGAGAGTGTGTGTTTGTGTGTGTGGGAATTAACTATAATGGAACATGAAGGAGGTTTTCGGTTTCCTCATATGACAAAGTCAATAGCCTTTTTGTGACCACGTTCTTACATTCAAACTTGTTTAGAGGATAAATATGCAAATCACCATTACATTCGTTATATAAGAAGGGCCCGAGGAACAAACAGTTGGCGTACGGATAGAACTTGCCAATCTCTGAAAAGTTCTCGAGTTGGAAAAAGGAATGGTCGGAATGATGCCACTTTCAAAACCGCTCGTTGAGCCACTTCCAGTTTCATAAGAGTCGTTTTTGCTACACCACCCCAGGATGAAATGCAGTAAAGAAGAATGGTTTGACACGTAGCAAAGTATACCATCCTAAGAACATTAAAATCGGCTATATGACGTAAAGTTTTGAAAACTACTATTAACTTTCGAACACGGTTAGAGAGAGAATTAATATGATTTTTAAAATTAATATGTTGGTCAATATTTATACCCAAATATTTGAACTCTTGGACGGATTGCAGAGCCGGGCACCGGCATCCACCACGATTACAACTAACAGGAGAGTCATGAGCAATGAGTGTGTGGCCAATAGTAGGCAGCGAATTAGAGCACAATCCAAATACCATATATTTGGTTTTTTGTGCGTTTAAAGTTAACAAATTACAGTTTAACCAACCTAGGATAGAGTTGAGCCCTATTTGAGCACATTGAAAAACTTGCTGGCAAGAGTCAGCTTGGAACGAAAGTGTTGTGTCGTCAGCAAAGGATATCACAATCCCATTTGGTAACTTAGTTTGGCACAAATCATTTATAAACACCAGAAACAGAGATGGCCCTAGGATACTTCCTTGGGGCACTCCATACGATATTGAGAGTTCGTCACTGGTGAAGTTTCCAATTTTAACTTGTTGTGTACGATTGGCAAGATATGAATGAAATAATTTAAGTGCGACTCCTCTCACCCCGACGCCCTCAAGCTTTTTGAGTAAAAGTGGGATCGAGACCGTGTCAAAAGCCTTAGCCAGGTCCAAGAAGATGGAAAGACACTTCTTCTTATCGTCCAAACCGCGAACGATAAAATTAACTAGCTCATGAACAGCACTGTCTGTTGATTTACTAGCTCTGAAACCAAATTGCTGTGGAGACAGAATGTTATATTTTTTTAAATATTTCATCAATCGAGTGTTCATGATTCGCTCGAGAATTTTGGACAACGAGTGAAGTACTGAGATTGGGCGATAGTTACAGACACGGTCTCTATCCCCTGACTTGAATATTGGTGTTACGACAGCTTTTTTAAAAACGTCGGGAAAACAGCCGGATGTAAGGCTTAACTGGCAAACATGGGCAATGATTGGTGATAATAAAGCGGCATATCTTTTAAGGAAGTTTGATGGTATTCCGTCCCAACCCACAGCACAGTTAGCTTTGAGACCAGTAATCAAATTTAATACTTCGTCTTCGTCTGTAGCTAGCAAGGCAAATGATTGTGAGACCTGTGTGCCATGTGAAGAGGAAGTGGACGACCCCAAATCCTTAGATCCGATAACCTCGGCCAGGGAACTGCCAACACTTGCAAAGTATTCATTACAAGCATTAACAGAAAGTTGTGGCAAGCTTTGGGATTTTAGTAATTCCAAAGCGGATTCCCTTGGTGTTTCCATGGAGGTATTGGTTTTAATGACTTTCCAAAGTTTTTTATTATTAGAACGAGCTTCTATTATCTCGTTTCTTTGATAGCTACGCTTTAACTTTTTTAATATTTCATTACAATAATTCCGGTACCTTCGATAAGCAATCAATAGGATATTGTCATTTGGTGTCACCCTAAGTTTCATATGCATATTGTCCCCGTTTCGCATACATCGTAGCAATCCCAATGTAATCCAAGGCTTGAGTATAGAAAACCGATGTGCTAACTTCAGAGTTTTGGTGTTTGAAACAAGTGCCTGCGCAAGAAGATTAACAAGAATGGATGCAGCAGCGTTACAATCATTACATGAGAGAACAGAGGAAATAAAAAGCATACCAGGAAGTATGCTTTTTATTTCTATCAGTGAGTAAGAACTTGTAAATATATTATAGCAATATCTTGCGCTATATGTCGCACTTGTGCAAGTCACGTCGTGTCGTGCAAGCCCTCTTGGGGAAGGTAGCTGGATGCAGTCAGTGTGAGATCGGGAGGGTTAATACAATAATAAAGATTATTGTACAGACCTCTTAGCTTAGCCAAAGTGAAGCACATCAATATTTGTCTCTTGGGTTTTACTTCTGATGATTAGTGACATATTTTTATGGTTTCATCTTCATAACAACAGTCAATCAATTTATGGCTTTTATTAACATTGTATAATTCATTTTCATATTATATTTTATGTATAGTCTCTTCCACTTTTCAACTGTTTGTATTATGGAGCAATTCGACAATCTCAACTTCAGCATCAGTAAATCATGTAAAATGATGTTATAGTCTCATAAAAATATTTTTTTTATTAATAGCTTTGTGGAGCATAATATAAATTAACAGCTTATCAGCATGTTGCATAAATTCATAATTACAATTGTGCATGGCAAATAATGTAAACACACATTGTTTGAAGTATTTTATGAGCTTATTTTACACCTAATTTGATAATAATAATAACGCACGCACTCAACATAGATACAAACTAACATGTGACGACGAAGCCAGTGAGTAATTTTCCCACAGACAAATAACTCATAAATCATTTATTTCTTTATGTAAGAGTTGTTATTATTATAAACCTTATTTTTATTAATTATTTATGGAAGTTAAGGTACCTGTCTGCTGCTCCCTTTGTGTCCTACAGCTGCTGTCCACGATCTTGACCAACTTCTCTACGGCCTTATAAACTAGGGTAGCCAAGTTATTCGGCGACTCCTCACGTAGCGCCCGAATCTCCGCCCCGGGCACCAGTGCAAACACATCCTGCACATTTGTCACTGTCTCCGACCAGAACTGATCCCAGAAATCATCGTCGTTCGCCTCCACAGGCTGAAATACATCGATAAAACCAATGCATCATTTCCAATCATCAATACTGCGTAGGCATCAACAAACGTTATTCTTACCTGTGTTTTAGAGGTGAGCTGAACTACAGCTTTCCTGAAGTTTAATTTCGTGTCAGCGTTTCCCATTTTAATGACTTTTTAGTTGTTTAAAAATAACACATCCATTTCCAACATACGTCCCCACCAGAACAACACAAGAACAGAATGACAACTATGACAACACAACTGTCAGCAGATGACCATAGAGTGAAAACTTGGTTTTCTTTTTTGGCTTTTTGCGAAGCACTGAAGGAATTTCTAAATATCTTTTCTCGTGTATTAGTGGTTTTGTTACAAATGACAAAAACTAGCACCTTGCGTCACAAGTTTATCCTGGATTTAACTATGGTTCTTATTTGAAGTACGAAAAATGGCCGCCGTAAATTTTGTGCGAAGTGCTTTCAATGGGTTATTACGAAAACCTACTGTATATAAGACCCCGGTGGTATGCCGGCTTTCAACTGTAGCTCTGCAACAAAAGTATCATGCAGTGAATATAGCTGTAAAAGTTAACAACAAATGCAGTCTTCAAAATGGGGTAATGTATTTTTCCGATCAATACAACGTGATTTTCCTTAACTTTAATTAAATTCACGCTCTAAAAGACGATACATGAATTAAAAACATAGTGCGATTTTAATTCAGTGAATAAAGTGACTTGTTTGAAATATTGAATGATATAACCTCAAAATTGTTATTGCATAACAAATGTGTACAACTGATGCTAACTGTCTAGGTATCTCAGCGTATACGGCATTACCAGCAAGGCCCACCCAAGCCCTCATTGGAAGAGGTAGAGGAGCGCGTGTTCAAAGTGTGCAAGGCGTACGACAAACTATCTGATTGTCAGGTATTTAGCATTTATTTGTTGTTTTGTTTCAGGGACTATTTAGCGGTGTTCGCAACTACAGTGGTGGCCCACCGCTCACATTAAGCCTTATCCAACAAAGGGTGATTCTTGTACTACAGCTTTATGACAAAATAGACCCATCAAAGGTAGCCTAGTAGTAGAATTAAGAAGTAAAAGAAATTCTACTAAAAACTGCATTTAGAGCTTGAGCTAACATAAATGTTGTTTATTTTCAGTTGAATCCTGATTCGCATTTCATAAATGATCTGGGTCTGGACTCTCTAGATCATGTGGAAGTGATCATGGCTATGGAAGACGAGTTTGGATTTGAGATCCCTGATGGGGATGCTGAGAGGCTAATGAAGCCCAAAGACATTATCCAATATGTAGCTGACAAACAAGATTGTTATGACTAAACTCAGATTTTAGGGATTTATGAAGATAAAATGTTAGACCAACTGTGGGTTTTCATGATTGCCATTTGAAATAAGTTGAAGCTGGAATAAAATTGTCAAGTGTTACATCTTGTTGGCAGTTGGTTTAAGATTTTTTACACTCAGCTTAGATATATAGTTCAAAGTTAATTTGTTATACCAAAAAGAAAGAACAATGTGGAAAACTGGACTACAGTGGCAATGTATAAAGTGTAAATTCTGTTTTTAATTACATGCCTGTTAGAGTAGATCATTTGTTTTAATGTGATCATTTTCAATCAAAATCTAACAATAAAATATTGTGTCTTGATTTTTGTTTCCGTTAATATTTTTGTTATGATACACAAGAGTTGTACGAACCAATTTAGTCACAGACCATAAATTCAAAGATCGTTCGTACCGCGCACGTGCAGGTTGAATGATCTTAATGAATCCTGATTAAGTCTTAACTGCTCATCCAAATGATTAAAAAGTGGTTCCAAGTTTTTAACAAATTGTTAACAAAATATTTGAAGTGACAGTAGAAACGATAAGTGCTTTCTGATATAACATTTTCTTTGAGTCATGAGAGTTCTAGTTAATAAGACCATAAATTTATATATATAGTATTATGATTTTAACAAGCACAAATTCCGTTGTAATTTTCCTATGAATTGGAGCAACTTTAAAAAAAGATCACTTGGACCACATGCATACAATAAAAGAAAAAAATGTACCATGTACTTTGTGAATGAAGATCAGACTTATATAGCCTTTGAATATGAGGCTGAAGTATCTCATAATCTCTGGGTGGTCTTTGTGCAGCATAATTCTACAACTCTAGTTCACATTTTGGACACAAAAAAGCTGTTTCAAGGCAATTACACTACTTTCTATGTTTATTCTAAATATTTAGGCTGAAAGGCTTTGAATCGAACTCAGGTCAGTTCAGCCAGAGGCACTACAATACATGATCATGAAATAAAAAATATCTTAAAAAAAAAAATCATTAACAGCACATACTTGTTACTTATGTTATAGAAGGCAGTGTTGGTTCCCACTCTGCAATAGTTTCATGTGGAAACCTCGTTATTTGGAACATCTATGAATTTCATTTAAAATGAAACAATTAAATGAGAATATCATATTTTATACAACTTTATTGATGAAACTTCACAAGACGTATCATCCAAAGAAAACCATATTCTAAGACTAAGCTCGCAACATCTATAATGCACCTTACCTTCCGTACAGTACACACACATACTAGAAAAATCGTTTAAATATATTACACCACTATGTACACAACATACATCCGAAGTTCGAGACTCGTGATATATTACTCTTGCACGAAAACAAAACTTAAATACTGCTCCATTAAATTAACTACAGAAAAAAGAAACAGGTAGATAATATACAATCAACGAAAAACAAATAGCAGTGCTTTCTGAAGTCCAACCTCTTGTCTTCTCTGCAGCATTTACAAAATAAGAGAAATTCATTTTCCAGATACAAATGAAGTTGTAAAAATTTGAATCTGGAATTGACATTTATTCTGAAATATTTACAAATAATTTATAGTTACAAATCCAGGACTTTGTTGTTCAAAGCAACAATTCATTGTCAACTATAGATAGAGATCACAACTACTGATATTGTTCATGTATTTTATTTGTACAGGAACAAGTTTGTTTTGTAAAACATTAGACATAATGTCATTTTAACTATTTTTAGTGGTACGTTATGAATATGTTTTGAAGTCTGTAGTGCAATAATTTGGTTCTAAATCTGCTAACAGACGATGATGTATCAACTTCATGTAGTTGAGGTCTCGGAAGCACGAAGTTAATTACGACTTCACGCATTAACTGTAAACATGCAGTCAATCTCTTGGCAGCCTTAAAATGTTTGTCCAATAAGATTATAATATTGCGATCTCTCAAGTTTTGTAGCAAATTTTAGAGCCAAAACTTGCAATTTACGTCTATATTTATACATGGAAATTTGTATACATAAAGGTTGAAGTGAAGATTCTGTAAAATGTAAATATCGTCTAATGACAACACTGATTTAAAATAGTACTCGGTGATCTGCTAACAGTGCGATAAAAATGACGGATATAATTAAATTTTTACTTGGTAAGGTCTGGATTTGTCCACTGGATATTACGTAATTAGGCTATAGTCCGTGCTGTGACACAGGTTAGGGCCGCTTGCGGCTCCTATTGTTCGCGCGCTATCTGTACCGACTGGCGCGCTGCTTACCAGCAGAGCGTAGACGACGCGCGGCACTGGGGTCCACCCGCGCCACCCTCACTACCGGCTGCAGCAGTAAACCTGCCAGTGCACGCTTCTTCTTCTTTTTTTCCTCTTTTTCATCAGTCTCTGAGGCCGAGGAGTGCGAGCTTCTCTTAGCCGGGGGCAACTTCCGTTTCACTGCTTTCTTCTCTTTAACTTCCTCCTCGCTTTCATCCTCCGAAATCTTCTCCTCGGTTAAAACTTTGTCCTGCGACAAGTCCTGGCCGTCGTCTGTGGCAGTTTTATCATTTTCAGTCTCTGATAAGTTGGTGTCTTCCTCGCTAATCATATCCTGCGTAGTCTCGTCGTGCGGCTCGACGGACGACCGGTCTATGCTACTGTCTGCTTTCTGTTCAGATTCTAGGCTGCTGGTCCGCGAGCCTTTTTTAGATTTCTTCTTATTTGGCCAACCGGTTCGGTTCTTCTTCTTGAATTTGCCCCGACGTCCTCGTGGACGCCCTTGCTCGCTGGCGAAACCTTCTTTTATCTCATTCCGTATAAGTTCACAGCCTTCGCACTCGGAGACTAAACTCGACACGTCCGGCGCATTCGTCGAGGTCGTCACCGCAGCTTCGCCTTCCATCGCCTCTTCAGAGACTTCGAACTCGGCCGCATCTTCAAACACTTCTGACAGGAACTGCTGCAGGCGTTCTGACGCTTCCTGAGTTTCCGAAAGTACAGGTTCCACTTTGACGTTGCTATGAGTATCACTGATAGTGTCTTCTGACGCTGTTGATTTCGCGTCATCGATATTTTTCCGTCGATGCAACAATCCTGCTGAACCGAGTATAGCTAGGGTAGACGCATGTTCTCTAGGCGATTTCCTAGGATGTCCTTCCAGCGCTATGAGCGCCGCTGTTCGTTTGCGAATCTTTTGTTTCTTCATGCCGCGGGTGCCGTACGACCGCGATGGTCCGGCCTTGTCGTCTCGTTTGACTAGGTCACTGAGAGGACAACAATTTGGCTTCAATGGCGGTAACTGACCGATTTCATACGGTAACTTTGGTGATTTAGTGTACAGTGCTGAAACAACAGAAAAGAACAATAAAAAAATTGTCATAAATAACACTAATGTAGTGATATACAATAAAAAACAAAGTATGAAAGTCTGTGTAAGTCAAAATGCTTACCAAAATACTGTGGCACATTCCTAGTAAGGACTTTGTCCTGGTCCTGTCGTTTGAATGTCTCATACCAGGGCTCGCTGTGAGGCACTGACTCGAATGCGAACTCAAGCTGTTCCACTGCTGGCGTATACTTTAGCTTTCCATCTTCCCATTTCATGCATTTCTCTACTGGCTCCTCTCTTAACGGGTTCACTTCCACTTCTTGCTGAGGAGTTTCCGGCTCCACTGGTACAGATGGTTCGGGTAGGGGTTCAGCCTCAGGATCAAGTGGTTTCAAAGGGATTCTTCTCCCACGTTTAATGGGAGGCGCTTTCCGTTTCCGCCGCCTAGTATCCTCCGGCCATCCATCTTCTTCCGAGGATTCCTCCTTGAGCGCGAGCGGCCTCGCCAGCCGCCGTCTCTCTATGGACTGCGGCGGCGGTTGAGGAGTCTTCCGCCTTGGACTCAAAACTTCCTCTTTGTCGTCTTCATCTGAAGACGTGGAGCTCGTCGAGCTGGCGCGTTTTGGAAACATGAATTGTTCCGCCTCGTCGCTAAGTACAGACAGTTCCGAACGTCTCACTTTCCTGAACTTTACAACCAGAGGTTTAGCTCCATTGCAAGGGGGTGGCGACTCCTTGCGTTTTGTTTGAAATCCGCCACTGGATCGCAATTTTGTACTGACACCAACTACTTTATAATACTGTCGATCTTCGATCTCGCTACTTCGTTTACTGCACCTTGTGTTATGTTTCTTCTCGTCCTCTAGACCTCCATTTCGTTTAGGGCTTTGGTTGCCGTTGATGGTGGAATCGGGCGACTGAGACCGCTTAGAGCGTTTACTCTTTGGCTGCTCGACTTCACCATTACACATCTTTCGTAGCGATCGCCGCTCGCCGTTGATCGGTGTAGCTTTGTCTAGGAATGTAGTCACATCGGCGCCCGACCCGATTAGTGAGTCGAGAGATAGGAAGTTAGTATGGTCTCTAACAAATGCCAAATGGTGTGGAGATCTCCTATGTAAGGCAGCGTCTACGTAGTCCGCGTTGCACATTTCACAGTACCCTCCTTTTGGTTCCTTGTCCTCCCGTTCTTTGATGCGCGGACGACTTTTCCTTGTCATTCTGTAAGGAGAGACCCACTGATTAGAATTAGCGGATTGCTTCATCTAATGACATGAGCTTCTGGAAGATAGTACTTACTTCTGATTGGCTTGAAGGTTTTGATTAATGTCGTTAGTTTGATTAACTGGCGTAGGATTGGTTTCTTTTTTCTCTTTCTTTTCTTTGGGTGGATCAGGCTCTAGCGAAATGGCGGGCCACTCATCGAATTCTTTGAACACTGGTCTGCAGGGTCTAGAAACAAAGACATGTATGTGTTAGTAATGGATGTTAATTGTTAACGGGATGAAACTTTTTATAATATTGATGCATACTTGTCCAAGAATTCAATCTTGATATAATGTTTACTGAAGTATTTGATATGCGCTTTACGCGGCGCCGTGAAGAATGTGTCATACAGTTTATCCAATAGACTTATAGCCTGAAAGACGAATACATAAGCTGTAAAATATATACCATTAAGAAATTAGTAGAAATATTATGTTTAGTAATATTAGTAAAGAATTAGGAAATTATTAAAGTTTATAATAGTAAGTGAAGTAGACAATAAGTTCATGCAGTGTCACTTAACCAATTTTTGCACTGTTTGAGCCTAATTTTAAAGCCAAAATTTTTCTGCAGAAATAGTTAAATTCTTTTTTATAGGAATGTTTTTTTGTCATGTCATAATTTTAGGGTGTGACTTGACACTCTTTCTACATCAATTTTGACCCACCTTTTATCAACCAAAACTACCATGTCTTACTAAATACTATTTTCTAGTATGGAGATGGAGATACCTTTTGCACAGTAAGGTGCACTACATGCGGGTTGGGGTGCGGCTCCCTAAGGCGCTCGAGCATGGCATCGGCGCGGGCGCGGCCGCTACATCGCGCCGGCGCACGCGCGGTCCCGCTCGCCTCGGCGCCGACGCCGACGTGCTCGCGCACCACGTGCGTCACGCGCGAAGTTAGAAATACTTCTTGTTGCTGGAAATAATCGTGACAATGTAATCAAACAATGACTGGACTAGTCTTCGTGTCAAAAAATATAAAGAAATGTTCTCTAGAGACTAATTTGTTACACTAAATTGTATACACTTCTAACAATAACGTATCTACTTTATGTTAAGGTATCTTTTCCAGTGGTCCGCGCTTCTTTTTATAGTATATTTGGGGTATAAAATACCTAACTGCCCAATATCACAATGAATTTTTTACATTTATATTCATATTCTAGTTAAAAAATTAAAAAAACAAAAAAGTATGAACTCAGTTAAGCCAATGTGAAAGATGATTTGGGAATCACCTTTAACAACAATGTTACTGTCCAGTATTTAAATAGTTTCATAAGTACAACAAAACGTACTGTACCAATAAGAGATTTTTTTTATTTTAAAACAAAAATTTTAGTCAAATGTAATACAAGAATGCATTATTTTAAAAATGCTCTCTGTTTTACAGAATTTGTTATCAGTAGTGTTATAAAATTAAACTACTTATGTGATTATCGCTCAATACAAAATGGGTCTTAAATGTCAAATTCATCTTATACTTGTTGCATAGGAAAAAAAATAGTCACTTTGCTATTATAATACATATTCAAAGGTGACCCCAATCTCTTAACCTTACAGAAGATAAGTTATGCCATTCCTAGTTTAGTAAATGAATACCTCATTTTGTTTCTATGATAAATGTACATTTTTGCAGTTTTTGTAAACTAGTGTATACTACACTAATAGACAAAAGTTATAATTTCTATTGTACATTAAAACTACAATAAAGTGTGTTAGATAGATAAGACATTACCAGTGTTGCCATTACAAACTCAATTGATTAACCTACAATACAAGGTTGTTTTTTTCTGTTTAGCAATTCTGATAAGACCTGTCAATAGGTACTTGGGTTATTTGGTTGAATGTGAAAGTCAGCAGTGACCCTATAAAGTAAAGCATGTTGCAACCACAAAATGCTGACTGCACTTAGCAACAGGGGACATTCTCAGAACATGATGTGGGTATAAATACTTGGAAATGTGTTAGGCAGTATGTAACATCTATCCTTGTCAAGCACACGGCGATAGAGTAGGATGCGTGCGTAATGTAGATTGTAGTTGTTTGTTGGGTTGTGGCGCGGATGGGCGCGTGTCGCAAGCGAGTTATCGACGCGGCAAGCAAGCGGTGGCGGCGGCGAGTGGCAAGCGGCGGCCTGCCTCGCCCGCCATGGACTTTTCCTCGAATCCGTCGCCGGATCACAGCCGACGCCGGCGGACGCATCGCATCGCTCCACTCGCGCCAACCGTCCCGCGCAAAAAATATCATCCATCGGAATGCATACCGAAATCACCCTTAACACGTACGACTTAAGATCTAAATCTGTTTGTAGACGAAAAGCAATATCAACTGTCAAAAATTAAAGCATACACACGCGAAGCCCAAAGAAAACTATAGTTTGAATGCCATTTAAAATGTAGTGCACCGCGGGGTGAGTGAGCGCGCCGCGCGGCCTCGGCTTGGTGCATTTCGCGCTGCGACGGCAGCACAAACGCCACAGTACAAAAGATGACCTAAAATCGAACGCAAGCTACGCGACCGCTACCCACTCGGACAACACAGTTTCAAAGTGTTTTCTGAACATTTCTGACTAGATCGCCTGGTCGGTACGCATGTGTTCTTATTCTACAATATGTATACTTACATAAAAGCCGTCCGCGAGACCCCCGCGCGCCGCCTTATCACAAAAATAAGTAACTATATACCAGTCACTGAGACGGGCACTTCGTCACTCCACCAGATTTGTCTCGTATTACAACTTATCTTTATAGTAATCACTGTTTTCTATGTGCGCCGACAGCGTGAATGTTTAGTGAAACATCTCAGACACCTTTCACAGTTATTTAACGTCATTTGCCAAATAAAATCGAAATTATAACAACAAACACAAATCTGTCAGACAAGATGGAGATATTTCTTGTTAGTTTTTGTTTAGGTCGCTAGGGGCGCTGTTGAAGCGTGGAAGGGGAAACGTTTCTCATTGGTCCGTAGTAATTGCGTTCCTATATAGAACATGACGGTACTTAATATATGGTATAAAAAAAATATGTTTTTTATATACTAAGCGACCGCAAAAACAGTGCATCAAAAATTCTCTATTAGCTAAACCTTTAGCCGAAGTATAGATGTGAATACAATAATTATATACATTGCAAATTAATTAAGATTAATTTCATCCGTACAACAGAACGTTTGCTATGCGACCAAATTGAATACCCCAAGAACAAAAGCGTTGGCAATCTAAATGAACGATTCACATATTTAGAAGATTAATCCTGGAATACATAACCAAAAATTTACAATACTTAGCGCAACGTAGCTTTTTTACTATGGAAACGACTCTTGATTTTGGCGGCAAAAATAGACTGGAATTACTTACCAGTCCCATATCTTGAAGCCTTCTTGACAAAGAACGAGCAAGACCATGATCTTGAATATCCAAGTAAAAACAGAAGTTTCTTCGAACTGCAACATAAATTCCGTTTGAAACATCTAAATTCCACTCGTACCTATTCATGATAATAACAAGTCACACTAATTTCAAAAATATGGCGCACCTCTGTTATATTTTTCTTCTAAATTCAAAGTGTTCAAAGTCGAAACCATCTTTGCCAAATTGTCACAAAATTTTGCTAACTATCATCCTAAAATACTGTGCGATGGATATAGAAATAAAGTATGCGATGCAACATGTTTAACGCAATTCCAAGAAATTAATTATGTAAGATTATTATTGCCCGAGACAAAATTAAAAAAATCACAAAATCTATTCGTAAAAATACGTTTTGAACGTCGAAATGTCAATGACAGCTGAGACCCATAGACAAGTCAATGATCTAAGGTATTAATCGATAATCATTAGATATTCATCGATTTTTTATATCGATATTTTACGTGTGCTACTTTGCAAAGAAATAAAAAGTAATCCGTTGAAAAGTTATTTTTAATTGGTTTTTTTATAAGCTAAAATAAAACTGCAGTTACTGACTTGAAAATGTGAAAATTCGACGACTATAGCACATAATTATATAGTAATAGATTTTAGCAATACAGCTCAGAAAGATCAAAATAAAAGTTAAAAACAAAAACCACTCGACTACGACATAAAACTGTATATATTAAAACGTTTAAAATCAAATTGATTTAAGAGCCAATTTTAATGTTATTTAAGGCAAGTAAAGGAATTTTTGTTATCGTAAAGTTTTAACGTTTCAGAGAATGAGTCATAGTAGGAGGCCCTTAACGTACTCGACGAGCATAGTGGCAAGTATATATACATATAATGATTATTTTATCTATAAAGATTTACTAATATTTTTTAAACATCAGCTCATATTCACACTAAACAAATAACTTCTGAGACTGTAATAGCGGTTTAAGTTACTATATGTGCAGTATCGATAACAGCTACGTTAGCTGTAATTTATTAAAAAAAAGTATTACTGAAGAACCCTTTCCTCAAAAGAGATCTAACCTTACAAGATGATCGATAAGGGATGATGATGACGAAATATTTTTTTCTCTATGTAACTGCATCCACGTGTTAGTTGAAGATATTTTTAAAAATAGAGCAAATTGACTCTCAAAAAGTATTGTTCTACGTATTAGTCTATCGCCACATTTGTTTTATATTTTTCGTCGATTATAGCTTTTTATCTGACATTAATTTCTACCATGATGGTATGCGAGAAGTTTTGTTTTTTATGACATACTTGTCGTATGTAATGATACCGTATTGAATTTTTCATAAAAATATCTAAAGTCAAGAACAACCTATACATGCCTTAACCTAGAAATATCATTCCTTTAGTAGTTTAGGTTTATGGAGAACAGACGAATACACGTTCATATGTACATGCATACATACAACATACATATAATACGCCGATTATTAAATCATAATTCTCCGACATAGGTAGTTCAGTAAAAACAAGGCTATTCCATACTTTATGATCCCCAATCCATTCGAAACTAGTTCAAATATCTACATTGAAATGCGCTGCAGATACGCGTAGGCATAGGTAAGCATCGGAGCGTTCACTACATGTCCGTTTATGTACGTACTTTATTGATTGCCTGCGTTATGTATGAACCGAAGTGGACGGATGCGGTACATAGATGTATGTACCTACGCAGGCAGCCGTCTGCCGAGCTCGGCGCGCTATTTTGTTACAGCCCGGAAAGTGGGTTACAATATTTTATCAATACGTTTTTACGATAGATTTTTTGCTCTATTTCCTGTATATTTCTATTTGTACGCTTTTGAAATTATTTATATGTCTACTCGGCAATGCACAGAAAGAAAATAATTGTTCAAAAGTCATTAGTTATTATTTGTTAATAGTAGGTAGTATTTAGTTTGTTAAGTTAGACATCATTGATATTATTGTTACTAGGTACAGTCAAGACAAAAATGGTACAAGGACGGGGAATTAATTTTAATGTTTAAAACGTTCTTTACCTAATGTAAAAGAACTTGAGTGAAATGGTTGTAGATATTCACGATAAGGCATTACAATAAGTAGTTGCGGAAGTCAAACTGTTTACACACGTAAGATAGTGTGAGTACCTATAGTTATGTGATTTGTTTCGTTGGTGGCAAAACGACAGATATTTCCTTTAAATTACTTTGTCATTCAAGACTTAAGGTATAGATAAATAGGTCTCGTTATTATTCCAGTTAGCTGTAATACATATAAGGCAAAGCAAGGTATTGACTATGAATATTCATGAATTAGCCGGCACATTGGTATGCTACTACTAGCGCCATCTCTTTTTCATAGCAGAAACTATTTCGTATGCCAGTGCGCGTCCTGAGGCGAGTACTAAATTGTTGGAAGATGACAACTTGGTCTTATTGCCACTGTTCACTAGATAGCACTATACAAAAAACTCAGTTTGCCGCATTGGATTCAAACAATTTGATATTTCCGGCAACAAGATATGTATGTTATTGTAGAACTCGTGAAGGTATACGCGCTAATTAGAGACGCGGTGAAACTTTCAGAGGTCACATTGTCACATTACGAATCGAACTTTATGTATATAACTTAATTATCAATGCTGCCTTCAGCAGAAAGTCACAAGCAGAATTTCTAAATTCGTATTTAAATATTTTTTAGGTTTTTCTATTGAAAAGAATAGTTAAAATACACATTTGATATTAAGTAGTATATTTATGTTATAAATACATACAATATGTTTTATACAGAAATTTCATTGTATTTTAATCAGCCGTTTTTAAAAATACCTTAATGTTCTCTTTTAACTTAGAAAAAAATATATAATATTATAACTGCATATAAAGGGCACAACACAACTATTTAAATGTGACTTTTAATACTTGACTCATGAATAGAACTAAAACACAAACAGAAGATAAAGATGTATGGAAAGACAACATGGCTACACAAATTTGATCCACAGCATTTAAGTTTATTTGAAAAGAGCAATCCCTAGAGTTTCTTGCTCGTTCTTCTCAGGAAGTCAGCATAGTGAATGAGCTTAAAAGTGACGTTTTCAAGTGTACATTTTTTTACCTATGCAATATTATGATTCTTTGACTTTGAATTGAACTACCTAACAAGCAAAATCCTTTGATATTAGTGTTTTTAACGTAACAAACTTAGAATAATAACGCATAGAAACCTAGCCCGCACACGCTAAGTGAGGCAAATTGAAGCGCTCCCAAAGGGCCTACACGAGCGGGCGGGCCTTCAGTGCTCAAGGTCAACTTGCACCGCGAACAGCTCCAGAATTTTATCTAAAGATGACGAAATGTGCGGTAAATGAGTGTAAAAATACGCTAGACAAACATAAAATAGATACTAACATCACGTTCCACAAGGAAGTAACGCGTTTCAACTTGTATTTTTATATAAATATTCACTAAAACCGAAAATTAACGTACTACTAAAACTAGCCTACATGAATTTGATTTTTGCCTCACTTGTGACAGTTCGTTTGATATGAAACTATCATTCTATGCGTTATTATTCTAAGGTAACAAACATTGACTTACAAATAAATGGACGACGGGTCTAATACAAAAACCACGAAAAAAATGTCCCAAGTCAACCTATTCGAAATTTAAATTGTTATGTCATCGCAGTATCGCGCTGTCCGTAGAACAAATGAAGACTAAAGCGGAGTGTCGCGCTCTGTATACGATTTTAGCGCCTTACACGTGCGGACACTTTTTAGCGCGGACCCGACGTCCATATAATTGTAAGTCAATGGTAACAAACGTCAAATATGACTTTTATAGTAACAAATCTAATTATTGAAGTCAGTCATGCCTTTGAGCTTGCTACTATATTGATTTATTTTAGTAGCTATAGCACTTCCTTGTGAAAGAGTTCGTTCAGGAAAGTACTGCCACCTTACTTATTTCTGCTGCCAACCAGTAATGTGAGCATTACTGCGTGCCGGTTTGGAATGGTAAGGGTGCTGGTGAAATGACAGGTACATGGGACTTGTCAGCTTATGTCTTAGGGCGACGGGCCTATTGGCGGTTCCCCTCAGATCTTTGCTACTTTAAATAGATACCAATAAGATGCATTGGCGCTGAATTCTATTTGTCTATTTGGTTCTTAATGTAGTTAAAATGGACATGTATTTGTATGGGGGCTATCGAGGACAGCGAAGGAAACGGCGGTTTAGGAAGGAAAAAGGTGTATTATTAAAGAGGAAACAGACAGTAAAGAGAAACGAAGAAAAAGCAAGCACAGAGTATAAAAAAGGACAGAGACAAAGAGCTAAACATAGACTAATAACTAGAAACTATAGAGGGTCTGTCCTCGACATCGCCCTCCTCGTAAACTAACAGTTTACCTTAAGTAGCAGGCCGGGACAGACCCTAATACTATGCTAAGCACAGAGTATAAAAAAGGACAGAGACAAAGAGCTAAACATAGACTAACAGTTACTAGAAACTATAAAGAGGGTCTGTCCTCGACAGGGGCGATAACATATTATTTAAGTAATAAGCTTTCTATTTCTCGCAGACTAAACTTACTTATTATGTACTTCTTGATGTACGATTAATTATATGTATATAAAGGAGTGTGTACAGGAAAATAAAAACCACATAAACCCACTTAGAATACACTTATATTTAAAAAAAATAAATTAACAATTACAATATTACATTTAATATACATAGCCACTTTGTAAATATCACTATTATGTATAATTTAAATATGTATATAATCAATATGATTGAATGAGAGAAGACAAAACGAGATATTTTATAAAAATATATTAGGGTGGGAACACACGATGCGGGTTTTCAAATGTATTTATACAAATACATACATTGATTGTTGTTTGTTACTTTTTTAGTATCTTAATCGTCATGGGGTATGGCAATATCAGCCACGCCTATGTATTTCATAGTCTATGTCACTGACCTATTTAACATGTCTGTTGTACAATTAATACACACATACAATTACATGTCAAATAAGTTATTGAAGTTTAAAAAGGTTTTTTTAAAAATTAAATAGTGTATGCACCCAGTATAAATTAGGGTATCCATATCTTAATTTGGAAAAAATATAAAAGTGGATTGGATGTTTGAAATAGTTTTATTAAATAAAGGGTGA